GCCCAGTGCCTCAGCACCAGCCGACCTCCCCCACCTCCAGCGAGCTGCACCGCGCGGCCGCCGCCGCGCCGCCCGCGCCCGCGCCCGCGCCGGCGCCCTCTCCGGCGGCCCCGCCGCCCCCGCAGCCCCCGCCGGTGCCCTCATCGCAGGCGGCGGGCGCGGTAAAGTAGGCGTGGCGCAGCGCCTGCGCGGCTGTGGGCCTCTGGGCAGGCGGTGGAAGGGGGGACAGGGCCGCAGCAGGAGTATTGAAATGTCACAAGCAATACGAACCCTCGTGAGGGAGGCGCCAGCAGGCGCGGGCTTCTTCCTGGGAAGCCTCAGTCGCGGCACGCACTGGCAAGGAGGGTGAACGACCGCAGCCACGAGCCTGCTCCCAGCAGCCATCACACACCGCGGGCCTGTGGGCGCCGCCACACGCAGCAGCCCCCGGCGCCCCTGCGTCAGCCCACCCGCAACCGCGCCCGCCCGCCCACCTGCAGCGGGTCCCAGTGCAGCAGCCGCTGCAGCAGCCGCAGCGCCAGCACGCCGCCCAGGCCGCGGCCGGTGGGGTCTCGGGAGGCGATCAGCCGCAACAGCGCGTCGTCGCTGCAGCTCCACGGCACCAGGACAGCGCCGCCGCCGCTGCCTCTGCCGCCGCCGCCATCCTCGCTTGAGGTCGGGCCGCCCTCGCGCCGCCGCTGACGCTGCTCAGCTCCGTTGACGCGCCCACGGGCCCCAACGACGGGTTCGCCCGCGGGCGGCGCGGGCGGGCGGGCGTGCCGGGGGCGCGTGGGCGCCTGGCGTGGGGCGGCGCGCGGGGCAGGGGGTTGATCGTTGAAGGACGGCGCCTCGCTCTCCAGGGCTGCGGCCCAGAGCAAGAAGTGGCAAGACACCAGGGCGGCTGCCCGGGTCAGTCAATCCCCGGATTACGCAGTGCGGTTGCGCCAGCTAGCGCGTGACGTCGCCGCGGGCCCGCACCCGACAAGACAAAACCCCACGCAGCCGGCCCCCGTCGCTCTCAGGGCTCTCTGGTCGCGCCGCGCCTGAAATGAGATGGAAGAACCCCACGGACCACGCCGCTCTCGCCCCCGCCCCACGCCAACGCCCCTCCATCCCCCAAATACAAGCACCCTACGTCGTCCCTCCCAACCCCGCCGCTCCCGATAAAACGCAGTTCAGCCGCAGTTTCGGATGGAAATCCCCGAACCACCCCCAGCGCACCCGCGGCGGGTAGACACACATCTCCATCATCCCCCTCAGCTGGTACAGCTGCGCCCGCTCCGCCGCCGGCCGCGCCCGCAGCCGCAGCCGCCGGTCGAGGGCCGCGCGCGTGGCGGGCGAGAGCGCGAAGACGTGGGGCGTGCCCAGCACGAGCTCGAGCATGACTACCCCTGCTGACCAGGCGTCATACGCGGCGGCGCGCGCGCGGCCGGTACGCACGCGCGCCGCGCCGGCGCCGCGGCTGCGGCGGGGGCGGGCGGTGTGTGCGTGTGAGTGTGTGTGTGTGAGTGTGTGTGCGTGTGTGTGTGTGTGTGCGTGCGCGCGTGTGTGCGTGCGTGCGTGCGCGCCTGTGTGTGTGTGTGTGTGTGTGTGAGTGTGCGCGAGCGGGCGGCAGGGGGGGAGATGGGAGCAGAGAGGATCGCCCCCGGGCTGGGGCCCGCCGCTCGCTGCCAGACCCGACAGAGGATCTCCTGCGGCGGCCGCAAAGGGCGCCGTGGGCGGCGTCCGGCCAGCATGAATCGTCACCCCCTTCGCCCCTCCTTCCTGCCCGGCCCCGCACCATCCGCCGGCTGGGAGCCCCCTGGGGGCCGTCCCTTGACGTGCGCGCGCTTCAAAGGGAGCCCGCCAGCAAAGAACGTCACCCGCCGGCCGCACCCGGGCCCTCCCCAAACGCACCTGCTGGCATAAAAAACCTCTGGCGGCGCGTACTCCAAGGTCAGCTCCCCGAGCCCCGGCCCCGCCTCCCCAAACAGCCGCGCTGCGCTGACGTCATCCGCGGCGCTGCCCCAGTCGATCAGGCGCACGTGCATGCCCGCCGCGCCGCCCCCCGGC